AACAGAGCAGTCCCTCCCCTGGCCCTCTTGACTGTCCTCTCTTAGAGAGCCTGGATTTTGATCTGAGCTGCCCGGCACAGATCAGGCAGGGCCCTGAGACATTGTCCCATCTGAGCCCCACTTTCCAGAGGGGTAGCCCAAGGCTACATTAGATCCTCTGGGTCCAGGGCAGGGGCGGCTGACCTGAGGATGCCCTGTCCTTGTTTGGGGGTTAAGTGCCCCATGTAATGATTAATCCTGGTGGCCCAAGTGCCGGTCACTCATTGACTGACAAGGCCAAAGTCTGTGGCCAAAAGAGCTGAGGCTGCTTTGGGCTTTTCTCAGAAATCACCTCTTCCCCCTCAGTTCCCTTCCTTACATGGCCCCAGCCCTATGCCCTTCCTGCTGGCCTCAGGGACCAGGCCTGAACGGGAGGCTGTGGACTCCCGGTTGGTGGTCCCAGGCTCTGGCTTCTGGGTTCCAGACCTGAAGCTCGGAGGTTGGCTTCAGACTTCAGGTCCTGGCCTTCATGCTCTGGGCCTGGAGCTTGTCTCCAGTTTCTGGGGTCCCCACTCTGGTTCTGGCCTCAAGTGGGCTCCAGTATCTGAGTTCCAGTCTCGGGCTCCAGTTTTAGACATCAGATGTCAAGCTCGGGGCTCTGGTTCTTGGCGCTGGGCTCTGGGTTCTGAGCCCTAACCTTCAATTTCAGATTCCAGACACCAGGTTGGGCTTCCGGCTCTTGCCTCCAGGTTCTGGGTCTGTGCTTCAGGCCCCAGATCCAGGCTTTGTGCTCCAGATTCCAAGCTCCAGTTTCACACTCCAAGCTTCAGGTTTTGGATCTGGGTTCTGGGTTCCTTCAGTGCTTTGGCAACGGGGCAGGAAGATGGGGGCCTCCTCGGCTTGTAGGGTTACCCTGGTCCACCAATCTTAGCTGGCCACTTCGTCCTAGCAGCTGGCACTCTGGGCTGGCCTGCAGGTAGGACGTTCATTCACCTCCTTGGCTTTCTGCCTCCGCTTTACCCCCAAGCCAGTTCTCTGGAGACAAGAGCTGAGATGGTCACAGAGCACCACTCGCTCAGTCCCTCCCTGCAGGAGTCACAGGACACATACACATGTTCATGTCCCTAGCTCTGCTTGGACACCCCCAGGACCATGGTGGACATGAATGGCGCCCCCTGTGGTTGTACAGTGGTACGGGCCTGTGCCCAGTTCTGGCTGCATTTGACTCACTGTAACCAACCATGTGTGTTCCTCCCCATCTGGGCCTTCGTTTCCCTGTGGAAGCTGAGTTCCAGCCTCTAATCCCCCAGAAGTCTGAGTCATCTGATCACCAGACCAGGCCCCCACCGGGTGCACTCTGTGCTCGCCCTTGGGGGTGGGGTGGCTGTCCCCAGAAAACAGTGCATCAGCACTTGCAGCCCAGCTCCAGGTGAGCAGCCAATGCCTGTAACTGCCCCCATGCTGGCCCAGAGCCAAGGTCACTGTGTGCCCTGTTCTTGCCCTGTGCCCATCCCGTACCCCAAGGCTATTAAGGTGGGTGGGGGGACGAGACAGATTCTCTCTTAGAGGCTTGGAGCCACATGGGGTTGGGCCCCACGGGTGCCCTTGAGGAAGTCAGGCCTCCTCTCTCAGCCTGTGAACTCTGTAGGTTGGGGGTGTTGGAGGCTGCAGAGCAGTCAGCAGATGTGTGTTCTCTCCCTTCCTTCACACTGGGTGCTGGGTGAACAGGCCGACTCCTCTCTGGGCTTCCCACCTGGTGGGATGAGGGGAAGCAGCTCTACTACCTTCCCGACCACCCAGGAGTCCACCTCTGTGCAGTGGCTTTGAAACATGGCCTCAGGGGTTAACCAGCTGGTGCCCCTGGCCCCCTTCCTTGCAGCTGGGGGGGCCTGGCCAGGCTGGGACAGTGAGGGCTCAGGGCTGCTTCAGGGGGCATGATGGGGAGGAGATCACGAGGGGGATTGTGGCAGAGGGACACACCCAGCCAGTCAAAATGGGCTGAGGGGGCAGTGGGCTGAAGCCCCTAATGGAAGAGTTGGGTACCACTTCCGGAGAAAGGGATGGCAGGCCAGCAGTGACAAAGAAGTGGCTTTGGGGAGTTCTTTGTGATATTATAATTATTTTAAATTGCATCCTTTAAAAAATATTAAAGCAAAGGTGAAAGTCTCCTTTGACCACTACCCCTTCTTGGTCTGCTTCCCATCCCCCTGTCAGTTTGGTATGTATCCTTCTAGAACATTCTCTCTCTTTTCCGTACACTTATAAGTGCCTGTGTGTTTGTGGTTTATATAAAGGTATCATGCCATGTTCATTGCTCTGCATTCTCTTACCAAACTGTCTTGGAGAACCTTCCATGGCAGGACATGCTGTACCCAATTCTTTATCTGCTGTGTGGTATCGCAGAGCATGAGTGTGTTACCCAACTCCCCAGCCCTATCCACTTTTGCCAGTTTTCAGGCAATAGACAACCCTGCAGCGATGGGCCTCCACGTGCCCAGAAGTGAGTGATTCTCTAGTGGCACTGCTGGAGTCACATGCTGTGTGTTTTTAATTTTTAGCAGAAATTCCCAAACTCCCCCCAACCCAGAGTAGCCACATCAATGTGCCCTCCTCTGAGAGGGCCCTGGCTCCCCAGTGGGGGTTTCTACAGCATCCAGGCCCTCCTTGGTGCGTGTCCCTGAGTCAGACAGCCTGAGTGCTGGTGACACCCCAGCAGCAATCCCCTGCATGATCCTGGACTAGTCACTTACCCCCCTGCAGCCTTGATTTCATCCCCACCAGGCTGTTTTGTTGTGAGGACAAAATGAGATAAAGGATGGAGCGTGCTTAACTTGGGGACCTCGGGAGATGTGAATTCCTCCTCCTGTAGGGGCTGACCTCTATGGAGGCTCTTCTACCTGTGAGCTTCAGCCCTCTGCCTCCTCAGCCCATTCTGTTTGGCTGGCTTGGCGCAGCCCTCTGGCTGTTGAGGTCATCTCATGAGCCAGGCTTGGCTACTCAGTGTGGTTCAGGAATGACCCTCTGACCCCAGTCAGAATCCCAATCCTGGTCATTTTCTACCGTCCTTCGGGGATTTGCAGAAAGGACATGCAGGGAGAGAACATGCGTGCAAATGAAGCCAACACAAGAAAGCAGGACTGAGATGGATGGAGATTCCTGACTAAAATGGTCTAAACTCCTAAATTTACCCAGCCACTCCTAGACGTCTTCATTAGATAAGCCAATGCATTCTTTCAGTGTGTGCGTGCTTGTGACTCTGAGTGGGATTTCGAAGACTTACAAACACAGAAGTCCCGCTTCATTGAAGGTCTCAGCTTACACACCTCAGGAGAGCTTTCCTGGTCACCCTGTGCTATGGTCTAAATATTTGTGTCCCTCTGAATTCATATGTTGAAATCCCAATGCCAAAGGTGATGGTATGTGGAGGTGGGCCTTTGGGAGGTGATCAGGTAACGAGGATGTAGTGAGATTAGTGCCCTTACAGAGAGACCCCAGAGAGCTCCCTTCCACCATGTGAGGACGCAGAAGTTGGCTGTCTACAACCTGGAAGAAGGTCCTCACCAGAACCCCACCGTGTTTGCACCTGATCTTGGACTTCTGACCTCTAGAACTGTGAGAAATAAATTTTTCTTGTTTACAAGCCATGAAGGCCCCCTGAGGAAGGCTTGCGCTCGACTTCTAGAGAAAGGCCAGCAAACCGCACTGATCTCTCCCAGGAACTTCAAGGGTGAGGAGCCAGTTACAAGATAGGGGGCAGGTATGGGGAGCCCCTGGCAGAGGGGACAGAAAGTACAAAGAGCTAGAGTGGGGAAGAGAGCTCAACCTGTTGGAGGTGGTCAAGAGGGCCCCTCACTCCCCCAGTGCCTTCTCAAGGCTCCTGCGTCCCCTCGTTTCCTCTGTCACAGCAGCACCGGGACTGAGTCTAGCTTCTCTGCCCCCAGGCTGGGGCTCTCCTTCTGGGGTTCTCCCTGTTCCTCCACCCTGTGTGGGCTGTGGGCTTCTCTGGCTGCTGGGGGACAGAGAAGACCACCCAGCCAAAGCAGGCAGGGGGCAGAACCTGCCTCCACCACAAAAACCAGTGTCCTCCTCGAGGCCTTCGATGAATCCAAAATAGCCCACCGCCATGTCTACAGAGACACTTTCAGTCCCCAATAGAAACAGGACTGTGACCAGACACTGTACTCAGATTCAGAGAACAGCACAATGACACCAGCAAAGGCACAGCTGCCCAGAGGGGTCTACCCCTCCCTCCCCTTCCTCCCTCCCTCCCCTGCTTCCTCCTTCCCTCCCTCCTTCTCTCTGGCTGTCTCTGTCTGTCTCTCACACTCACACCCCATACTCTGTGCAGTCAGGAAGACAGGTTCTGACAACAGGAAGTCAGGGGGTACATCCTGAGGTCCCCAAGGGCTTCCTGGAGTTGACCCTGGTGACAGAGGCAACACAGTTTGGGGGTGGGGGCGGCACACAGGGTAGACTGGCACACAAGGAACACGCCCTATGGCAGAATAATAATTATTATTATAACAATATCATACATCCAGGACAAACCCAGCTGCCCCAAGCCAACTGCAAAATCCAAAAGTCCAGTAGCATCTCTGTGGGTAGAGGGAGGGGCTACCTGCCTGCCTGCACCCCCAGGACTTACTCATACCAGCTCCCCGAGGAAGAGCCGGCCCCTCTTCCTACTCGTTGCTGAGGCCTGGCACATGGTGGGGAGGCTGGCACTGCCAACGCCGCCCCTCCGTGTTGGGCACACCTGCAATGGGGGCTAGGCCCACTTCCCCCTGGTGGCCTGGCAGCAAGGGATGGACGAGCAAGCCTGTAAGGGACCAAGTGGTGGCAGCTGTGGAGTGTCACTCCTCTGAGTCCCCTCTCCATCCCCTCCCAGCTCTTCCTGCGGGCCTGCCCGTGGCAGGAAGGGGCCAGGGACACTCATGGCATAGACAGGGCATGCAGAGCGGGCCCATGGCATGCTTGGCCCGCCAGGTGCCATGCAGCCGGCCTGGACAGTTGGGCAGCTGTCAGAGGGCCGAGTGTGCAGTGGAGTCTGAGGGGCTCCCTTTGGGCTGGGCCGCTGATTCAGTCTGTGGTGGGGCTTCCTGGGAGTTGGCTCCTTGGGCAGGCAGCTGCAGAAATTCTGGAAGCACCAGGTCCTCTTTGCGCAGAAGACCCCTCTGGTCATGGGCTCCACTGCTCTGCACCCGGTTCAGTAGCTCCACCAGGCCTGGGGACGGCCACAGAGTCAAGGGGCCCATGGGTGCAGACCCACCTATGCTAGCCTACCACAGTCCTGCTGCCCTTACTATGGCCACAGCCTCCCTGACCCCAGCACCAATGCCCCCATCCCGCTCCCTGTTCCAGCCTTTCTGGTCCCTCAACCCCAGTGGACCCTGTTCCAGCCCCAGTGACATCTAGGCCCCTGCCTCAGCTGAAGGCTCTCTAAGGCCACCCACCCTCAACGGTCCCCAACCCTTCTGGTCCCTAGCCACCATCATCCCCAATGTACCTTCAATGTCACAGGTCTGCCGCTTCCCAGTGATACTACTGGGTGCCTGGGCCAGCGAGTTCAGGGACAGTGGAGGGAGGTGGGCAGCCTTGTCCTGGATTGTAGGCGGGCCACCCCGTGAGAATGTGGCGTTAGAGCCACAACCGGAAGGGGAGGCTGGCGGGCAAAAGAGGGTGCCCAGTCCCTCGCTCACCTGGCTGAGGCAGGGGGATATGTCTCCAGCTTCAGTGATCTTCACACCTGTGGCAGAGAGGGCCACCGTTCCTGTCTGCCTCTCGCCTGGACCCCCTTCCTCTTGGGCCAGAGCTGTCCCTTACGAGCCCCTGGGCCAACGTCCCTTACCTGGGAGACTGTCCAAAACCAATCTCTCGGCCGCCACCGAACTCACTAGCTTCCTCAGATCTAGTGGCTGCTTCTCTCCTGGCTGAGGGGACAGGTCAGCAGCCCGCGGAACAGGCAGCCCGCCCCGCTCCGCCCCTGCCCCTCGGCTACACGGCTCACCCGACGCAGCGCCACCTGTTGCGGGCTCAGGCCGTGCTTCGCCAGGATGGGCTGCAGCGCCTCCTGCAGCCGCTTGGTGGGCTTGGCGGAGATCCGCACCACGCGCTCCAGCGCCGCCAACTCGAGCCTGCGCGGGACCCTGGCGCTGCGGAAGGTCGGAGAGCCCGCCGCGCCTTTCCCCCAACCCACCTGGGACTGGCCGGAGAGAGGGTGGAGCCTGAACTGGGGAGGTGGGACCTCTTGGGGGTGGGGCCTTAGCCTAAGGGGCGGGGTTAGCACCAGGGGCAGGACTTGGAGGGAGAACAGCAGCCAGAACTGGGACCCAAGCGAGTGCTGGGACCCCCGGACCCTAGACTGGAGCGACAGACACTTACTCGAAAGTGATTCTGTTCTCCAGCCGCACTTCCTGGTCCGCCAGCACGGTGCAGTCCTGATCCAGGACCAGGGCCTTCTGCAGGAGCCAGGCAGGGTCTCAAAATTCCTTCTCCTTCCCTCCTCCCCCATCCCCGGGGTCTGAGGGAACAATCATCACTTCCTCCCAGGGCCTCCACTGAGGCTCCCTAAGGGCCAGAGGGAAGGGCCGGTGGTCGGGTAAGCCATAGAGATGCCGACAGAATACAAGACCAGGCTGGATCAGAGCCTAGTGGCAAGAATGCTGGACATGGGGCTTCTCTGGTGGCGCAGTGGTTGAGAGTCTGCCTGCCGATGCAGGGGACATGGGTTCGTGCCCTCGCCTGGGAAGATCCCACATGCCGCGGAGTGGCTAGGCCCATGAGCCATGGCCGCTGAGCCTGCGCGTCCGGAGCCTGTGCTCCGTAACAGGAGAGACCACAACAGTGAGAGGCCCGCGTGCCCCAAAAAAAAAAAAAAAAAAAAAAAAAAAGAATGCTGGACAGACTTGGAAAAGGAACAGAGTTATGAGAAACATGGAGGTGGGGTGGGCACGAAATGGTAATGGGGCTGCTTGGTTAAGGGGCAGGCTTAAGTCCTGGATCATGGGGCCACCTCTTCCTGAGCCAGGTCAGGATCTGCCTCCTGGACAGCTGCCCCTTGTCCCTGAGGCGTGGGAAAACCAACTGTACCAGCTGGACGCATTTCCTCCCTCACCACCTACCTTTGGTCAGCCACCCAGGCCTTGTCCCTTTTTTTTACACTTGTCCACTTCTCTCCATTCCCACCTACTAAGGACACTTCTTGTCTCCTCACTGCAAAAAGGGCTCTTCCCTGCAAGACAGCTGTGAGGCCAGAAGGATGCGAAGTATCTGGCACAGTGCCTGGCACACAGTAGGTACATAAAAGTAGCTGTAGTAATTACCACCCCTGGAGGCCCTGCTGCCTGCACCAGCCCAGGGCTGGGAGGCAGCCTCTCCCAGGCAATAGGCCTGTGCTGTGCTGCAGGGACAGGTGGAGTGTGGGTGGCGAAGTTATATTTAGCAGACATGAAAACCCATCAAAGCTGCAGAGGCTGCCTGGGTGGCCCAAGAAAGTGGGCAGAGCTTCTCTTACTGTGGCCCTCATACTCCCATATATGCTCCAGGCCCCTGAACATGCCCTGCACTTCTTCCCACCTGTGCCTGGAATGTCCTCCCCCCACAGCTCTGCCAGGCAAACTTGTCCTCATCCTCATCAACGGCCACCTCTCCCATGAAGCCTCCTGGGACCAACCAGAAATGCCTTCCTTGACCCAGAAACTCTCTGGAGCTTCAACTCCTCCTCCTGATCACATCCTGCCTGGCTCACCTCCAGCCTTTGGACCTGGAGGACAGAACTCAGCCTGGCTCCCTCTGCCCCCACCTGGCAGGGGCTTAGGACTGTTTATGAATGAAATCCTGACGCAGCTCCCTGGGATACAGCATCCTTCCTTTAGATTTCCCCTTATTGGATGGTTTAGTTTAAGTGAATTTTGCCCTAGCCTCCTCTTTAAAGTTATGCTAGTTTGTACCTAAAGGAAAGTTTTTCATAGGTTGGGTGCAGTTGGGTGCCCCTGGTGGCAGAGGAAGTAAGGGATCCCCAAATGGCCATTTCAGGGATGGGCAGTCTGAACTCTGGGAGTGACAGGGAAAAACTCAGCTCCAGCAGTGGTTTTCCCCTACTCTTCCTCCCAGAGACTATCACAGTGAGGATGATGGCTGAAGCTGGAAACCAGGATGGGAATGGGGTGGGGACAGGATTTTCATGGGATGAGAGTGGATATCTGAGTTTGAGTGAGGAGTTGATGCTGGGTTGATTTGGAGTTGGGCATGGGGCAGGGGGCTGGAGTTAGGAAGGGGGTGGGGATAGGGGATGGGGTTGGAATTAGAAGTGGAATTGGTGTTGGGGTCATGGCTGAGCCGAGACAGGAATGGGGGTGGGTTCAGGATCAGAAAAGGAGTTAGAGTTGGGGAACAGGCCAGGTTCGCACCTGCTCGTTGCCCACCAGGTAGACCTTGATGTCAGGTAGAGAGAGGCCTCGTTTCTCACAGATGCCTTCCAGCATGTCACGGATGGTGAGGCCAGGTCGGGCCAGGGCCAAGGAGGCTGTGCCATCAGGCAGGTACACGCAGCAATACTTCCCTGGTCGGCTTTCACTCTCACCTTCTGAGCTCCCAAGGCTCTTCCGGTGGCTCTGATTCAGAGCAGGTGATGTGTACACATGCAAGGACACACAGACAGGTACACAGACAACGTAAGCTCACTGGGGCACACACAGGCATACACATGCCCAAGGGCACACTTGTAGGCAGGCAGGATACATCCTCCTACAGGAATACATGTATGCTCACCCAAACGTATGGGCACCCAGAGACAGGTCCACCCACTGACTGCTACACACGTGCTGTACACACCTGGGCACCCACATGTGCACACACATCAGCTGAAGAGGATGTGCACCCATAACATGCATGGGGCCCAATGTGGTGAGGACAGGAAGAAAGTGAGGAGGCTGAGTGGTTGGCCATGTGGATCAAGTGGAGGATGCAGTGGGGCCAGTGACTTGGAATGAGGGTGGCCACACAAAGGGGCCTGAGTAGTGGCCCGAGCCCACACCACGTCTCCCCCAGCAGTGGGCTCACCTCAGATTTGCTGCTGACAAAGGCAAGAAAGCCGAGGTCCAGACTGGCAGAGGAGTTGAGGGACCCCTGGGACTCTCGGCGCAAAGCTGAGTTTGATGCGCCGCCCCCTAGTTCTAGGGGAGAGGGAGAATGAGCAGGACAGCCCCTACCCCAACCCCTCTGCCGGGGCCTCTCCCCAGCCAGGCGGACCCTGTTGGAGCCCTTTACAGGGTTCTAACGTGGTTTGGGTTCCTGGAAGCTTCGCTGCTGAGGGGGGCTTCCCAAACTTCTGGGGTCTAGCGTGGGAACCGAACCACCAGGGGAACATGGGGGTCACACGGACCTGCATTTCGATTTTCACAGTCTTAGACACTGCGGGACCAGTAGGAGGAAGGGGGTGTTCTCCAGGCTGGCCCAGACTCCCGACCCCGCTCATCTCTGCGGCCCGCTCCTGCCCTCACCCCTGCGGAAGGACATGCGGAGCGGGCGGCCCCCAGGGCCCTCAGCAGGAGGCAGCTGCCCCAACTCCTCCACGCCCAGCGGCAGCGACTTTCCGGGCTTCAGCTTCGGCTTCTGCAAGATACAGGGAAGCCACTGGCACTGGGCCGGGCCCCACCCGCAGGCAAACCGTGGGCACACCCTCGCAGATCTGCACCCGGTCGCCTGCCGCCACAGGCCGTCGTCCGCACCTTTCTCGTGGTGTCAGGGCTGCCAAGGCGCGAGGAGCCAGGTTCCCGCAGGGGCCGACCCTCGGCCTCCGCAAGGAGGCACTCGCGGTACAGCGGGGATTTGACGAAGCGTGCATAGCTGTCAAACTTCATCAAGTTGAAGATCTGCGGAACCGGCGCCAGGGCGGTGAGCTGGAGACGGCGCTCTGCGAGCCGCCAGAGTCCCAGACCCGGCCCTGGGGCTTGGCGGCGTCCCCAGCCTAGGGAGCGAGCCCCTAGCCCTTCCTTGCTTCAGGTCCCGCCCCTAGCCCCTCCTTCACTGTCTCCTCTAGTCTCACCTCTGACCCGCGCCCTGCCCAACGTTTAGCTGGGTCCCAGCATCCAGATTTGCACTCTTCCCCACCCCATCCCCACCATCTCTGCCACTCAGGGTCCGCCGCTGGATCTGGCCCTGCCTCTGCTCCACCGAGCTCCCTTCCAAGGCGCCGCCCCTTATCTCCGGCCGCGCCTCCAGGACCGCTCACCTGAAGCTGCTGTGCCCGGAACATGTCCGGTCGGGGCTCTGCCAGCACCTCCTCGCCGAGCCAGGCCTGCCTGTCGATGTTCACAGGGCTCAGTGCCTGGCTGGATAGAAACTCCTGGTAGATGTTCCGGGCCTCCTGAGCTAACTGGGGCAGGACGGACAGGAGAAGGTCAGGGGCATGGCTCAGGCCCTGGTCTCGTCTCGCCACCTCAGTTCCCCCTTCTCCCCACCTGCTGGGTGTCGCTGGCGGGGATCTGCTGGAAGCGCTCGCAGGCCTTCCAGAATGTCACGTTCTCAGCACTGAACTCCTTCTTCAGGAACTCCTGGGGGTGGGGAGAAGGAGGCACAGACACAGAGGTGAGACACAGAGACCCAGTCAGGGGATGTGGTCCAAGAGATTGGTATAGAGAGAGGGCCAAGAGGCCAAGCCAGACAGATAGGGTCAGACAGACAGATGGGATGAGATCCGGAGGCACAGAGAGAAAATAAGACGCAGAGAGAAGGAAACTTCCCAGCTGCGAGAAGAGTAAGAGAGTGCCAGAGAAAGGCCAGATGAGGCAGCTGACAGAGGAGTCCCACTCTGGCCAGGCTGAAACTCCATCCGTGCCCTCTCCCACGCCCCCCACCCTTCCCCCCATGGTGGCCACTGCCATCCACCCTTCCTATCCCACCCCAGGGCTTACAGTGAAGTAAGCCAGGCCCAGCGGGTCCTGCAGCAGCCGCTCGAAGGACAGGCCCCAGCTGGCCACAGGATGCTCCTCGGTGGGGAAGGGGCTGCTGGGGCCACTGGGAAGGCTGTGGATGCTGAGGGAGCTGCCTCGGCCCTCTCCCTGGCCCTGGGGCCCCGCCATGCTGCTCAGCTCTGCAGGGAGATGGACAAGTGCAGCTGAGCCCTGCAGCCTTCCCCAGCCCCTGGCCCAATCCCATCTCAGGTACTTTTCCTGGAAAGACAGCAAATGGCAGGGGTATCCCCATGCTGTTTCCACATACACCCCCCTCAGCCCCCACCCCCACACCAGCCAGGCTTCCTCCACATACTCTGTCACTTACCTCCATCTGAGACAGCCACAACCTACAAGAAACCCGAGGTAGAAAGTCAGAGTAGAGCCCAGGGTGGATTCTCAAGGGATAGTTCTAGGCCCAGCCCCCAGGACTGGAGCTGTGTTCTCTGCCTGGAGGGCCACACTGGGCATTCTCAGCCAGGTCACTGCTTGCTCAGGGTTTTGCTCAGGCTGCCCCTGGCTCCCCTTCCATCATGTGCCAACCACTGTGTGCACTGGGACTTATACCAGGTACACCCCAGTCACCCCTGTTGACCCCCAGCACCCACTGGGTGAGCCTGGGTGTAGAGCATGGTGGGTAGGAACACAAACTTTTAATCTTGTCTCTGCCACTTACTAGTTGTATGACTTTGGGCAAGTAACTTGTTTGTCTCCATCTGTAAGTGAGGGATGATGATAATAATAGTTAACTTACTTCCTAGGCCTGCTGTGAGGATCAAATCAGTTTAATATATTTCCAGCGTCTAGAATAGTGGCCAGCATGTGGCAGGTGTTATAGCAATGTTTGCTGTTGTCTTTGAGGAAGGAGAGGTGTCTGTAACTGATGATGTCCTTATTGCAACTGCCTCCTCTTGGAAACACCCCACCATAGGCAGGGCATAGGATGCTATTTTATAGTAGAGAGCAGTGGTTCTCAAACTTTAGTGTGCATTAGAATGATGGCAGGGGGGAACCTCCAGAGATTCAGTTTCAGGAGAGCCTAAGACTCTCCATTTCTGACAAGATCCCAAGCATTGATGCTGCTGGTTATGGACTACCCTGTGAGGAGCTGTAGAGGCCAATCCCTTCCTCTGCGCATCACCCCTTCCCCCACATGCACAACTCTGACTTCTCTGGGAATCCCAACCATTAGTGAAACAGAAAAACCCTCCTTTCAAAATGACTCTTGCAGTGGTTTCCCTCTGTCTTCCTACCTTCCTAGCAAATCCTCCAGCTTCCTCATCATCTATACACACAAGGTGGTCTCTACCCCTCTCTGACTCTGTTCTGGGCCCTTTCTTCCTCCCACATCTCCCCAGCTTCAAACACACATAGCCAACTTCCTGCTGACATCTCCACCCAAATGCCCCACAAGGCCTTCCAACTCAGCCAGTCCCAAATGGAAGCCACCTCTGCCACCACCAAAGCAGGGCATGGAACCAACTTCCCTGAATCTGGTTTTCCTCCCATCACCTGGGCCCCTAACACCAGGGCTTGACTGATCCCCAGTTCCTTCCTCCCTCTCACCTTCTACATTTTCACTAGGTCCTGTCACAGGAGATTCTACCACCTATCCCTTCGTTCCATCCCTACTGGAAACAAGTCTGCAAACATCTCCTCCCCAGGAAGCTTCTCCCTGCCCTCCAGGCTGGAATCTCCCTCTCTGTTCCCTAACCTGGGAGCACCCGGGTCACACATCTGTGGGCCAGAGCTGGCCTGCAAATAAGTAGGACATTATTAATATCAGAATGTTTTTGGTTTTTTTTAACTTTAAAGGGGTTTCCCACATATGAAAGTCAGGAGTTTTACATGAAACCCCAGCTTTCTGCCCCAGCCACCTTGAGCTTCTTCCCAGCATGGCAACCTTGGCTGGCCCTGAGCAGCAACCGCTTTCCCTAGAAGGGGTTCACACTCTCCTCAGAGATCTCTGGGGCCAGTTTGATGCATTTATGTTATTTATGGAGGCAGGCCCCAGACTACCTGAGTTCACATTTGTGCTGTGTGACCTTGGGCAGAGTACTTTACCTCTCTGTGCCTTAGTTTCTCCCTCTATACAGATGGGGCAAATAACGGTCAGGACTTCAAAGGCTTGCTGTGATTAAATAAGTTAAATATACATAGAAAGAGAACTCATAACACTGTCTGGCATGTGGTAAATATTCAAGGAACATTACTATTATTGTTGTCACATTAGTATTGGTGTCTGGCCCTGCTTCAGATTTCAATTTTGCCAAGCCCTGTGGTAGAGGGAAGAACACAGGGATCGGGTCTGTCAGACATGGATTCAAATCCTAGCCCTGTCCTTTTCTAGTTTTACAACCTTGGGCCCCTCCCTGAGCCTGCCTCCAAGCTGGAGCACGGGGCTAAGACATTATGGAGGAGGAGGGAAAGCTTGTGCAGAGGGAGGCTGGATGTGGAGCCACCCTGCACGCCCTCCTCTGGGTGCCCCAGCCTTCGCCCTCCCGCCTTTGCACTTGCCCATCTCACAGCTTCATGGGAATTCTCTCCCGGGGCTGCAGGACAAAGTCTCAACTCCTGGGGTGTGTGAAGGGGACAAGTTGAAGCCAAAGGTCCCTTCCAGCTGTTCTTTCCCTTTCCTGGCAGCTGCCCTCATGCCTGCACCTGCCTGTCCCACGTTCTTCCTCCCCAGGCTGCTCTGTGGCTGTTCCCAGTCTTGGTTACTGCCTTCCGTCCAGGTCTCCAGGAACCATCCTGACTTTCCCCTCCCACTCCACGGTGGCCACCTGGCCCTCCCTCTTCCCCGCACCCAGCACACCCGGGCCTCTCTCTGGCCCGCCCTCCAAACCAGGACTCAGCCTCTCCCTTGCTCAGGGCTCTCCACTGCACTTTTCGTGTGTCGGAGGGTGGGGCACGGGATGCTCTTGGGCAGCCCAGGACCCCAGGGAAGGCAGAGGGGCCTGGGCTTGGCTTCACTCCTATTTCATTTTGTTCTTTACATCCTGTTGAATGGATTGTGCCTTTATGTGGGGCTGGCTCCCAGGCCCTCTTCTGGCCCCACTCCTCACTCTGGGAGGCAGAGCAGTTGCTGGGTTACCGCTGAAGCTCTGCCTGAGCCTGACTAATGAACCCCTTCAGCCTCCCCCATTGCCCTCCCTCTCACCTCCACCCTACAGTTCATCAAACTTCTATTTTCCCCACACCCCTTCACACTCCTGCTTCCTGCTTTACTGTTTCCTCTGCCTGGTATCTGCTCCTGCTTCCCCCACCCTACGGCTCTCCAGTCTCTGCCTGTTGACATCAGTCTTCCCTAAACACCAGTTGCCCCGAATCCCCCTGCCCACCACACTGCTGCCCACCTATTTGTAGGCCTCTCCCCTACCAGCCTGTAGCTCCTGGAGGGCAGGCCTGTACCGCAGGAGGGAATCAGCCTGAACTCCCTCCTCAAAGAGCACCCTCTTTGCCCAGGTGCTCCCAAGCAGCCACAAGGGCCCAAGTTGCCCTCCCCTGCCCTCACAGGAGGCGCTGGCACCCCCTTTGCCAGGGATGCTTTGACTCCGAATGCCCCATGCATGTCTTCCTGGGCCCCTCTTGCTCCACTAGATATTAATAACCTGGTCTGAGACAGGACGGAGATCCAGAGGTGGCAGGGAGCAGGGATGGGGTCCAATTCCAGATTGACCATTCTGAGGCAAGTAACTTCCCTTCTCTGGGGCTCAATTTCCCCCTGGGTAGCATAGGGCTCAGCATTCCCAACCACCTGGAGCTGCCAGGAAGGGTGAGTCAGCGGGCCCCCATTTGTGAATGTGGCAGGTGTGCAGCAGGGATAGTGGCATGCTGCTGCTGCCGCTGCCTGGGGCTCTGATCTGCCCAGGCTCCTGGGTCTGGGGAAGTTGTGCTGAGCAGGGCTGGCCTTGCCCCACCCTGGCTTGCCTGAGAAGAAGTGGTGAGTGAATGGGAGAAAAGGGGAAGAAAGGAGGAGGAAGGGTGCGGTGGCCAAGAGGCAACCCCAACCCATGGTCTGGACTCAGTTTGCCAAACATTTTCCCTTGGAAATGGGGCCTGGGGGAGCCACTGGTATCTGAGAATACAAAGATGAGGGTGACCCGACATTTCCTGAGCTCTCCGACGGAGAGAGAACATGGACGGCACACATCCATGTCACACATCCAACCTCACATCCTTATCCTGTGTGGCAGGTATTATTACGCCCATTTTACAGATATGGAAACCTTGGCCCAAAGAAATCACACAGCTGCGAAGTGCCTGAGCTGAAATTAGGGCCAAAGTGTGCCTGACTCTGGAAACCTAAGGTCTCCCCTCCACTGATCTGCCTTCCTGGGTGAACAGCAGACGTACCGGGGACCTAGGAGCCCCAGGGCCGCAGCCCTTGTGGCATAGATGGACAAGGTCGATTGGGGTAAAGGGCCCAGGGGCTCCTGGATGAATTCTGCCCCCTGGAGGGGTGACTTCGAAGGGAGGGCTGATTTACTGAGCATCTTCTGGGCTCGGCCCCCTATATCATCATCTTATTTCATCCTGGCTTGGGGTGACTGAGGCCCAGAGATCCTCTCTGGGTAGATCCACTGAGAACCCTGGCTGCCTGGCTCTTCAGCCTGAGTCATCTTTGTGGAGCTGGCCTATGGCCCTGAGCTGGACTCCAGGAACGTAGGCCAAGGTACAGTGGGCTCTGCTTTGCAGGTCTTCCTGTGCAGGGAGACTAACTGGGCACCCTGAGAGTGACAGGATGCAATAACTGCTCCTCTCCAGGCTTTAAGCTCGCCAGCCCTTGGGCCTTGTCCCTGTACACACATTCTGTTTCCCTGTGTGTAGGCCTTTCCCAATGCTGTTCCCTCCTCCAGCTGGCACATCCTTTCAGGACATCTTCCACACCAACAATGCACGAAGTGAGTGGAGAAGTTTGTTCTCCCTCCCGGTCTTCCTCAAGCTTTCTCTATTCCTGACCTACCGCTCTTACCCAAACCTTAATTTTATTCTGGTATTTGCGCTTGTGCCTTTTGTGCCTTGCCAGACCAGGAGCTGTTTGAGGGCAGGGCCTAGGGCGATGGGCCTCGGTCTTGATGCCTGGGACAGGGCCAGCACTGAGCAGGCCCTAAGGAGGGATTGTTGAATGAATGCATGAGTGAACAAATGAAGTGGCAGTTGGGACTGTGTGAAGGCATCTCGGGGAGGGAGGCTGGGAGCCATCTGTAAGTGACAGGTTTCATTGCAACCCCCTGACAAGCTGCGTGGCAGAAAGACGAGGCTGACAAATGAAGTTGCCTCAGCAGGGAATGACGGTGGTGGTGGTGGGTGGGGTTGGTGGCAGGAGGAGGTGGGGGAGGACGGAGCCAGGCAATTCTAGGAGCTGGAGGAGACCTGGCATCGAGTCAGATTGGCCTGGTTCAAATGCAGGTCCCTCTCTTGCCAGCTGCCCTCAGCACGACATGTACTCCTTTGAACCTCCCTCAGGAGGTAACTCATGGAAGGAGGCTGACAGCTGGCCTACATCTATGCACATCCGATGCAGGTCTGTCCCTCCCTGTCTCAGTTGAGCGTGGCCTCAGAAGGCTGCCCGATGGCCAGCAAGTGGCCAATCTGTGACCCTCGGGATTCCAAGAGGTGGCACAGAGTTCAGAATGGGCCTGGAAAGGGCAAAGATAAACCTGTGTGTGAAAATCCACTGAGAAAAGCCAGGGTGTCCGTGGGCTTACAGGGCTCGGGGTAGAGCTTGGGGGCCTTCCCTGCTCTGAATGACTCTTGAGTAGAGAAGCTATAGGTTGATGTGGGATGGGCAGAGGCTGGGTCTGTCTCTGGGCCCCCTCAGCTGCCCTGCAGTTCTGGGCACTGCTCAGAAGCAGAAACCCAGTTGCCCTCTGGGGTGGGCGTGGGAGTGGGCGTGTTCCTCCTTGGCCTGGATGCTTTGGGAGGGGTGAGCCAAGCATCATGCCTGCAGGGAGTGTGAGGCCCTTGGATGCTCGAACTTCCAAAGTCACTTTGATGGTAGAGATAGTGAGGTGGGGGACATGGCCAGCTTGGAGGGATTTGCCTCTCTCCTGCCCAATAAAGAGATGCTGGAGGAAGAGGTATGGAGACAGGTCTTGGGAATTAGGAGGAGGAGTAAGGGTGGGGAGTGGCTCAGCTTCTTGGTGAGGCAGGGGATCCTTGAAAAGGGGCTGAGAATGAAGGGGGGCATTGGGCTGACATTTATGGAACCCCTACGGTGGGTCAGGGGGCTCATATTCATTATTCCATTTAATCGTCTCAGCAAGCCTTTGAAATCCGTTTCAAACTCCTCCTTTTATAGATGAAGAAGAAACTGAGGGTCAGAGAGGACCCTCTAGTAAGGGACAGCAGAGCTGAGATTAGAACCCAGGTCTCTCTGGACCCATTGGCTTTGTCCCACAGTACTAGGCTGGGGCTGGGTAGGCGACTAGGACACTGGACTTTCTGGAGTTTTTAGGAGGGGCTGGGACTCTGCCAAGTGGGCTGGTGTCCTAGGGAGAGAAGAGAAGACCGACACAGCCAGTTCCATCTGCTGAAGCGGGTCTCTTCAAGGGCAGCTCTCACCTGGATGCCAAGCAGCCAGGGAGAGGATTTAGCAGCAGCCAGGGGCACCCTAGTGCTCAGCTCCCCCCACCCGTCCTAGTAGCCTAGGAATAGAATAGACAGAAGCTGTGCCAACCGGGCCTGACCCTGCTGACCCATCCCAGGCTGCCCAAGGACTGCTAGTTCTGGCAGGAAGCCTCTGGAGTAGGTCTAGGGGGAGGGCAGTGACCCATTAAGGGCTGCCCCTTACCTGACCTTGGGCGTCAGGACACTGGGTGAGGGAGGGGGCTGAGGTTAAGTGAGGTATGGGGGCTTGGGTCCCCGTAGGGGTACACAGGAGGCAAAGGGCATGCCGGGACTCCCTGCTACCCTAGGATGCAGGCAGCCCCAGATGGTGCCAAAGTAGTAGGTAAAAGAGCAGTGGGGACTGGGCCAGAAGCCTATGCCTGCTCTCCTCTGGCCTCATCACCGGAGTGGCCCCAGGTCCCCATCAGAACCATCTGGAAGGTCCTGGGATGAGGGTGCCAGGTTCTACCACCTGCTGCTGCCTCTCCCCAACTTCTCCCGCCCGCTGGCAGCATGCAGGCTCTAGCCCAGCCCTGCCGGGTGTGCCTGTTGGGCTCCACCCTGGGTGTGCCCACCCCCTCCCTGTGGGTCTGGCCTGGAGCCCGCACTCACCATGCGTCCGTTGGGGACGCCCAGGTGCTTGGGCTTCCCTGGCATGCCGCTGCTGTTCACGGGTCCCCACTGCGGGGGGCGCCCACCATGGGGACTGTGGGCAGCGCTGGCCAGAGCCTGCACGGCGAAGGGCAGGCAGCAGAGAGAGAGCCCAGCTCCGCTCCTGTGGGCCCTCACATCCTGAAACACCAGCTCACTACCTCTTTTCTCTTCCACAGGAAGTGTCTCTATAGAAACCGAACCACAGAAAGAAGCAAGGTCTAAGAGAGCGAATGCTTCTTCCTACACACACATACACACACACACACACACACACACACACATGTGCGCGTGCGCACGCACACATTCACACGCACATACACATGCTGCCAATGCACCCTTGGCAGTGCCCCATGCAGGCACCAACACACAGCAGAGGCCTCTGTGTGCCCAACAAGGAGCCCAGCCTGGTCTGGCCCAGCCTGGGGAGTTCCAAGGGCACATCTGGGCACACAGAAGTACACATTCACACACCTAGGCAACTTCATAGACCCTGCAGGGGCTACCATAGACACAGGGACATGTGTACTGTGATGTGAGTGTCCATTTGTGTACTTTACTTAGCACATACCTATCCCACACCGGCTGCGTGCTTGGCATGTGCACACTCAGCACCCCTACCCCTGGCAGTTGTGCACGTGCAGTTACTACCTCTGTCCTGAGACATCTCCAGGCTGTCCTTTGCAGGCCTGTTCCTGGGTGTGGACAAACAGATACATTGCATGCATGGTCATGCACACACAGACCCTTCAGGTGTACAGGTTAGAAACACACAGGTTCTCCCTCGTCAGGAACACCTGAGCATTCGGTCATATGTATGCACAGCCCTTCGGACATGTGCATGTGACAGGCACACCTGCCTGTCACGTAGGAACACAGGCACATATGAAATCAGACACCCCAGTGATATGTGCAACCAAATATGCACACGCTCGCCCACCTGGGCAGGGAACAGATCAGGTGCATCTGTGCCCAAAGACATGTGTGCGTTTATAGTCATTCACATAAAAGTCCCACCTTGGTGTAGTACTGTCGACTGAAGAGGGACACCCTGCTTCCTCAGCCTGGCCCAGTCGTCAGTTGGCCTCTTTCTTACATGTGCATGTACCCACTATGGGACTTGTATTTTACCTAAGTATGGGCTTACTTAGAGCCTCAAGTCACCCACCACTCCAGTTTGGACCCCTCTTTCTACAAGGATAAGGTGACACCCCTCTTTCATATTCTACCCTCTACTCCACTGCCCCCTTCTAGGGCCATGACCTGAAACCTTCAGAGGTGGAAACTGAGTGATTCTTCACCACAAATTCATGTCCTAGTCCTCCTGGGCACACAGCTAAACTTTAATTTCCCAGGCTCTCTCACAGTCAGGTGTGGCCATGTGCTAACTAGTTCCCGCCAACTGAATGTGAGTGGAGTGATGTGTGCCAAGGCTTTTCAGCCCTTTGTGTCCTCCACATTCTCTCCTTCCCCTTTAGCTGACTGGATACAGAAGATGATGAAGCCCTAAGGGCTTGTGAAGCCACAAAAAGGAAGAAGCCTAGGTCTCCACATTAGTGTAAGAAGGTAAGCCATCCATCAACCAGGAACACCAGCTTTGGACTGTTAAGGGAGAGAGAAATCAACTTCTTCTAGCTGTTTTACACATTAGAGTCCATTTGTTACAGCAGTTATAGCATTATCCTAGTTAATATACCTCTTCACCCAGTCCTAACTCACTTCTTTCCAGACACCTTGCTCCAGGCCAGACAGACAGAGGGATTCAATAAAGTCAGACTCGGTGTGTGTATTGGGAGTTGCATTTGGGCCTTAATAAGGTGGTCTTAATAATGGTGGTCTTAATAAGGTGCATGATGGTGTCAATATACCTGTGATGGGGGGGTGGCTGTGCCATGGATCCGGGCCTAGCCTCATAGGGGGTTTAAGTTTACAAGTTCTCCCCCTTAACATGACCTCTAGACCAAACATTCATTCTTTCACCAATTACTTATTAATCAACTTCTATGTACCAAGCACTTTTCTAGATGCTGGGGATTAAGTAGTGACTATAGCTGATAAAAATCTAAGCCCTCATGGAGGTCTAGTGGAATGCACATGTCCTTGTTTGCACAGATACAGATAAATCTCTGAAATATACATATATATATATATATATATATAGCTACTTTTAAAACGATGTCTCAGCACGTCATCCTGAAGAAATTAATTCATTCAACAGGACAACTTCTTAAAGGAGCAGGAAACCAACTGTCCCAGCAGGGGTCATTAATTCAAGTCGCTAGAAGGGCCAGGCAGGTGCTGTAAATTAGTGGCCAGAGTGGAGACTAGCTTAGAAAAGTAAGGCATTTTTAGCAGGGCAGCCCCATGAGCCTAGTGTGGTTGGGTCTTCCAGTTTTTCCTGAGAAGCTGGAAATTTGGATTTTTAATTTGAATTTGTCTCCTGATTTAAAATATCGGTAGTTAAGTCATTTACTGGAATAGCATCAGCAAGAGCTCTATTTGGCTGTGGGCCACCAGTTTTCCACCTTTGCTCCACGGCCAGCTTTCCTGGACCTTTCCTGGACGCTTCCTGCTGCGCCAGGCAGGCACTACAATCGTTTGGATACGAATGGGCCCCAGCTATCACTGGGACGGGATTCGGGTCTGCTCCTCCTGC